TAAAAAAAACTGGTACTCTCCTGCGCATCGGTAGAATGTTTCACTATCGCTCACTTCGTCTGAAGTAACGTGAGTGTATTCAGTGAGCTGCGAAGGGAGCGTACTCATCTGGCAACACCATGTCAGATGAAACTTCTGGCATAGGTAAAACTAACGGACACGCCAGTCTGATATGTAAGAACAATCTATCTTAATTTGTAAATTTTACGCTATTGCTTTGCGTTGTTCTGCTGCTGGAAAAGCATTAATTCTTACATCAGAAAAGCCATTGAACATATGATACTCTGAACCTGAATAAAATGAAGCTCCTTAAATGAAGATAATGTGATTAATAAATATAAGCTCGATTCGAATTTGAATTGTAAATGAAATGGATTAGATCACTCATCGTACCGATCTATAATAAATAGCTACATTGTATATATTCTGTTAAATACCAACCTTTTTTCTGTACTGCATAATCATTACAACCTGGTAAACTAAATTCTCGTTTGTAAACTTCTTCTGTGCCCTGCATTAACAGACAGTACAGATGCGACCCGTTACCATATTGGTAGATAACATCACTCGAGACTTCAGTGTTACATGACACAGTGTAGCCGTCGTCGCCGGAATACACTGTCTTGCAGGACATAGTTTCTAAGACACAAACAAAAAAGTTAAATTGCATTTCACATTAAAACTTACACAAGAGCTTTAATAGTATCATGCGTTGTTATACCAATGATAACGTCGTTGAAAACAAACAAGCGTTCTTTGAATTAATAGCGAAATTTGTAACATCAATGGAGTTATAGAACATGTTTCGATATATTCTGCCTTGGATAAAATTAATTCAGCAGAAGAAAAAGAAGAAGAAGAAAATGATGTTTTTTGTTTTTATATTTCAGGGTTTTTTTCTCATGTTATAATCAAAAATAGCGGGGTGAATCAATATCGAAAGCGGCATTGGTTCCTCATATTTGTTTCCTTTAAAATGCTTATATTGTCATGTTATAAGATCCTGCAAAGTTTAATTCAGTTTTTCATTCTGCTGATATGTCTTTTAAAATATGGCATACAATTTTAAATTTGTAAATAAGTGTTGTTTATTCTATGCGGATAATCGCTGTTAAAAGAAAATGTGATAAAATAGTTGGACAAAGAAGCATTTCATGAACATCTGAATCTTTATCAGAAAATGTTTTACCAGTTATATCTTTAATTGTTTTATACTCCACAAATTTCATATCATGGCTCAAACAATAGCCTTTACTTTCACAGCTTAGATGAAATGTTGATGTTGAACCATTTCCATTGTAAACCTGCTTGGTTGTAGTACTGAAATCTCTGTCATGAACTGAAACAAAATAAAGAACACAAATGTCAAAACGCCTAAGTGCGTGTGACTTTTTTGCGTTTAATCGTTATCATATTTTCATTTCGGAAAGAAAATAAAATTCTTTTTTACGATGTGTGTCCGTTGCAATGTAAATTAAGAATACCATGCAAGTGTCTGAGATTACAAAATTTATCAGACAAGGCTTCGTGTCGAGTCTGATAGATTTTATAATATCAGACACTATTTACATGTATCATGTTTGCAATTTTAATATGCGTTTCTTTCGTTAACTTTTAAATGAAACCATAACCTGTCGAGAACTTCACGAGGTCATGCTGTACGCAGTATTATGCCAAGGGGCATGTTTATAAGAAATAGTCCCAAATGTTTTATTCTTTAAAATCAATATAAATTTACCTTTTATATCTATACCAACTGTCCTCGTATGTTTCACTTTATTTTTAGAGTCTATTAACCGAATTTCTACATCACCAATTGAACTACACTTAGTTGCATTAACCGATGTACATTGCACATTGATTGTTTTATTAACTTTCATAGTACACCTGAAATCTGATGTTTTCTGAAACGATAAAAAATAAGTCATTGCTTTCAATATCTATGAAGTAGGAATTTAAATGTTTTCCCTGCTTGTCGATTTCTTTTTTTATACTTTTTATGTTTGGCACTTTAAAGTCTGATATATATTTTTGTTTTTGCAGATGTGTACGATCAAACAGACAAAGTGTTTTTCTTAACAATGGATAACCACACCACTCTTTTTCAGAACTTTAATACTTCTTATACAATAAGAAAAATATGATTTCTAGACTACCATACTAGAATGAAGTATGATATTATTTTGGACTCTGAAAATGAGGCTATAATGGGTACTTTGTGCATTTGATATGACCTTTTGGACTGTTGAAATAGAAACGACGCTGGAAAAGATAGGATCCAATAGAACATCACAGGTCAAACGCTGAATAGAATGGTTCGTTGTATATATTACAGTAGGACTGGTGACTGTTAGAACATCACGTTTTTCAAACACGGAAAGAGCATCGATTATATTTTTATTTTTATTAAGTGTGACGGTACTGGTATAATTCTAGACGTCAGCTTTACATATTTTGAAAATCAATATTTGATATAACTAATGTGGATTTTATTCTCCAATTATGTAATCAACATACCGCATCAGCAACGTTCTTATATATAGCCGTTACGTTAGAAGGATTCAACCTGGTGGGGAATGTACATTGAATAGAGTATGTTTCTCCGAGTACGACACTTATCTTGTCCGGACATTCCTCTGTAAATAAGTAACAATTGATAAAAATCATTATATTTTGAACCCCATCAGCAATATTTCAATAAAATGTGTATTTGTCATGGTCATTCGTTAGAATGGCGATCAGATAAGCGTTTTGATGGCGACCTTTAAATACTACCCGAGGCATTTGCGAAACTACACTGAATTCATCCAGAATACCCTTGAAAAGTAAGGTATTTGATTGGTCAGAAATTTTTCCAGAATGTACACTGACCAATGAAAATCTGAGATTTGAGACAGAACTCAGAAAAATGTTTTATAATTATTTGGTGAAAATGGTGCTAAAAACTGACTCAAGAGTGAATCTGTAATAAAGATTCTTACATAACTGACAATTAAACTAATTGTGTATTAACTATTCTAAAATCCACAGGAAAAGGATAATAAATCTGAATTCACTCATAAAAAAACTATGACATGCAGTATCATTTTAGTCTGTGCTTTATGTTGCAGATATCACACATACAGAAGAGTTTCTTATCCAAGGTATATAAAATAAATTTAACTCTAGCATGGACCTTTTTCATTATAGGAACAAATAATATATTTATACATACCTTGAGGTCTTTCAGTGAATACTCGACCTCTTGATGCTGCAAAAATAACAATGTATGAGCCACGTCACGACAAAACTAACATAATGCGTTTGCGACCAGCATGGATCGAGACCAGCCTGTGCATCCGCGCAGTCTGATCAGGATACATGCTGTTTGCTATCATTATACTTGTTATAGGGCCTGTAAGCGAACAGCGTGGATCCTGATCAGACTGCGCGGATGCGCAGGCTGGTCTGGATCCATGATGGTCGCAAACCCATTATGTTGGTTTTGTCGTGACACGGCTAATATATTGAAAACTGAGCCACTGCATGTCTGAATTAATAACACAAGTTTATACTTTCTACACAGGGGACCATTTTTGTCAATTTTAGGTTTATTTTCTTGTCGCATTTAAATGGATAGAAGCCAATAATGTCAGCTTTTCATCGATGTCGGCATTCTTAAAAATTGGAAAAAATTGAGAAAAAAATGCATTGCATTTTGACTTATCATCGGTTTCATGAGTTTACTTTTGTAAAACTTGAAGAATTTGATAAATGAGTATTTAAAAGCGAAAATCTGTTCTGCAATTTATCAACCACAAGAACGAACATCAGTATGTTATGCTCTTGTGTGGTCTTACTACGTTCTTGGATTTTCCTTCAGTTTACAATACCATAATACCACATATGATTTTCCTGTGTGGTATTAGTAACCCTTGGGTTTCCTTCAGTTTACACGGTCATATGTGAGGTTTTCTTGAGTGGTCTTATTTAGACCTTAGGTTTCCTTCAGTTCACACGGCCATTTTTGAGGTTCATGTTTGGTCTTATTTAGACATTGGGTTTCCTTCAGTTTGCACTGCCACATGTGAGGTTTTCCTTTGTCGTCTTACTAAGACCTTGGGTTCCTCCAGATTACATAGCCACATGTGAGGCTCTTGTGTAAATTTTTTAAGATAGTTTACACTACCCAATGTGAGGCTCTTGTGCGTCTTACTTAAATCTTTGGCTTTCTTTATTTGTTAGTTTATTTTTTGTTTGTTTCATTTTACGCCTTTTCTTAACAGTATTTCAGTCATATAAGCGGGTAGTTTCCTAACCATCGTTCCTGGAGAGTTGCACCAGTACTAGACTACCTTCCTCCGCGCTAAAGTACCAAAGCATCTCCCGGGGATCGAACCCACGACAGAGAAGTAACTGGATTAGAAGTCATCGACTCTAACCCCTTGACCACGGAGGCTTTCATCATTTAACACTATTACAAAAAATCAGTTTAGTAAAATTGTAAAGTACTCACTAGGATCATCATCCTTATTGGCCTCAACAACAATTACAGCCGTTCCGATAAGTAATGCCAAAAATACTGTTACGAGAATCAAACATTTCAGTACGAAGACGACCTGTTACGTAAAAACGAAATATTCATAACACATTATAATTGTATGTATATGTAGAACTTTGATTTTGTAGAAATATACATAGGATGGCTGTGCAACTACATGTACTTCAAAGTTTAATTTTATTTTTCTTTAGATAAACATCAATTAGATGAAATAAAATAATAAATTGTTGTTGGTTTGTTGTTGTTGTTGTTTTTTGTTTTTGTTTTTTTTTTGTTGTTGTTGTTTATTTGAGTAGGAACATGAATCTTCCGGTAGCTTGCTTAATAGCTTTTTCACGTCAAAGAGTTTAAAGTCTGTGGGGGATCCGAACTCACAACGGTGAGGTGCAAGTGGTTCTTTGACTATTCAGATATTAAGTCGGCAAAGGGGTTGGGTTAAAAATAATGAAAAATAATTACTGTCTGTTCTTTTGCTTGACTCTTATTCGTGTTCATGTCTACACTAACTTGGTCTGTGCTAACGACATTGCCCAGCTCTTCAATTTCAATATTTTCGTTCCTCTAAAAAATAATAAACTGCATGAAGCATGACATTGACTCACATGACTTTTTTCTCTTTTTATCGTCTTTCTCTTAAAAGATTGTCACCCTTTAAAAATACGAAAAGCAATAGGATATACATATTACCAATATTATCTACACAACCACCACCCTCCTCCCACCACCACCCCGGAATAAAACCACTCCATTTGCCATTGTCGTTTTTGCCTCTCGTGTCCATATTTTTGTCGCTACGTATTATATGCCTAAAATTTCATGCTTAAAATCTGTCATATTTAAGTAAGTTATTTTTTGGAAATTTGATATAGACATATGCAGCATTCAATTATAAATGATTGGCAACAATACTAAGTCTTAATAATGACATATCAATACTTAATAATGACATAACAATACCTCATTATGATGACGAATGAAATCTCGTTGTGTTGCTGCCTGTAATAAGAAAACAAATGAAATTGTGGTTTAATCCGCATTTAATCAAACACTTGTAGAAATATGATATTTTATAATTGAGCCGTGTCATGACAAAACCAACATAATGGGTTTGCGACCAGCATGGATCCAGACCAGCCTGCACATCCGCGCAGTCTGATCAGGACCCATGCTGTTCGCTATCAGTTTCTCTACATGTTATATGGTTTGTAAGCGAACAGCATGGATCCTGATCAGACTGTGCAGATGCGCAGGCTGGTCTGGATCTATGCTGGTCGCAAACCCATTATGTTGGTTTTGTCATGACACGGCTCATATACTGGAAACGACAACAAACGTTAACTACGATTAAAAGCGACTGTGCAACCTGGTGTCTCTGTTCTTGTGGCTAATGTTAACGGTGAAAATTTTCAAAGTTTATATTGTACAATATTTTCTTTTTTGTGGGGGGGGGGGGGGCATTATAATTAATTAGATATAACCCTATTCAATTCAAGGGCAAGTAATTTACCGATTATTTAAAGTTACACGGCTGAAGGAATAATCATAAATAATAAATGTTCTTTACGTAAAATAAACAATACTCGTAGCTCAGAAATCAATAAACGTATAGAAAATGAAATTATCGACCAGGAAGAGTTTCTCCCAATCCATTTTATGCTTAATTTTAATAGTCTTTTTTAAGCGACATAGTCTTTAGTTAACAAAACACATTGTAGTGTTTTTTTGTGTTGCGTGTGTAAAACTTACTTCTTCACTTTTTCCTTATTTACTTATTTACTTCTATACCATGTTTGTATTATTATTTTTGTTTTGCTTGATTGTTCACTCTTATGCCCTTAAGGGCCATGAGTCTTTGTTTATAAATTTAAAAAAAATAAATAAATAAAGTCACATAAAGTCACTTCCTGCTTATAAAACAGTGAGCACTGCATAATTTAATATACAAATATCGGTCTTATTGGTGGAGGGTGGCGGCTGTAAAAAGATCGCCACATGATTTATCTACACAAGCAACACGCGCTTAATAGTCTCATTAAAAACTCAAACAGATCAAGTTCTTGTATAACTGTTTTCTTCTATTTATAGTCATGCGCTGCATATTTTCTTTTACTTATGATCGAAAATGGCATGTTCTGATCTGTTTTTACATAAGTATACCATATCGCTTATATATAGGCTTCAGTTTCTTTAATTTAAATCGTGCTTATATCAATAGTGGTTCACAAAATAAAGTTAAACATTCAAAGTTAAAAAAAGATCAGACAATAATAATACATCCACACAAAAAGGAAGTTAAAAATAAATGAAATAAAGTCGAAATGAGTGTAAAATTTACATTTAAATATCTACTGGTTTTATAAAGCCGGAATAATAAAACTTACCAGTGGATTCATTATTCTATATCCTTATTTACCAGTTATTTCATACTAACAATTGCTAACTTTTGTAAAATTAAAATCCCACAAAATAAAATATCATTTTAGCTTATATGAAACGTGTGCACGCTATTGTTTGCTCCGTTAAATATATTGTACAGTTTAAATGCCATGTAATAGTATATACTTTTCAAATTGATATAATTACCGACATTTGAAACGTGTATCTCAACGTATAATAACAAACATTGAATGGAAAAATATCATTATAAATTAAAGTAGTAATTTGATAGTTATATTTGCAAAACATTCATTGATCTGCAAGGCTTTCTTGCTCGTTTGGGGTTATTTTTACAATCGTAAATACTCGGGTTTCTCCGGCAACTCCGTAACTTCTTAAAAGTCGCCTGAGGTGTTCCGAGTGTTTCTTCATAAAACGTGACGTACAATGACATTACATTTCAAATATTGCGATTTGTAATAGTATGATTGTAGTCAGTCAGATTATATTCTAGTTACTACAGAATGTATAATAATAATAATAATAATAATAATAATAATAATAATAATAATAATAATAATAATAATTATAATAATGATAATAATAATAATGATGAAAAATATTTTAATTTTAACTTACTAGTCCAAATGTGTCTCTCAGAAGATTGCCTCTAGTGACTGACCCCTGAAGTAATAGAATAAACGATAAGCTGACAATCATATTACAAAAAAAAATAAAGTTGAAAATTCAAAGTGATAAAAGCGACACACAATTTAAGTCCATTCCCAAAAAATACAAAGCAAAACAAAATAAACAAACGCTAAATGAGGCTAAGTAAAAATGAATGTACTTTTCACAGTTAAAATGAGCCGTGCCATGACAAAACCAACATAATGGGTTCGCTTAAGCACCAGTCACATTAGAGCTTACGACCAGTGAAGACACGTTCACGATCACCTGTGACCTTTGGTCGCGGACAATCTTTAAAACGTCTTACGACGGTCATCGGTGATCTTTGACAGTCGCAGGTTATCTTATTTAGGTCCCACGACCAATTTCAGTCGTAGAGAGGTTTTTGAGCTTGCACAAAAACCTCCTTGCGATCAAACAGGTCGCTATAGTGATCTTATAAGGTCTTAAAGCTGTCGCACGATGGTCGTTCGGAAGTACGACAATCTTACGACAGTCTTTATAAATTGCCACTAGTCACTGATAATCTTAAGTAGTCTTTAGTAATCGTGTGATGGTCGTACGACAAGTTGTAGGTGATCGCATGTTATGTCAAGAGTAGTCGTAAGTAATCCCAGGCAATCTTGAGACCATCGTACGTTAACTTATGACCTGTCGTGCGATTGTCAATGATGACTTGTCTACGATACTCGCAAAAGTAAATTTATCTGTGCAAAAATGGTTTTGGTCGCAGACAATCGCTGATGATCGTCCGTTTTACAAGTCGCCGGTGGTCGCAAGTAATCGTAATCTCTAGTACCAACTCTATACTGATAGCGAACAACATGTGTAGCGCCGATATATGTCCAAACGTCGAAAAATGTCCAAACGACGATAAATGTCCAAAAATTGACGATAAATGTCTCAATCGCCGATAAATGTCCAAAACTCCTTTAACGATAAATGTCCAAAAATTGACGAAAAATGTCGCAACAAATTAGGTGCTCATAAATGTCCAAATCGGTTAACGATAAATGTCTCAACTTTTCATATGTTAATTGCACTTATATCTGTGATCAACAGTAATGCATCAGCCAGTTATAAAGGTTTCCATAGGGATTAAAAGTACCGATTTAAGTAGCGTTCTCACCAGCATCCCGGCAAAGCCATGCAGGTCCACCCCAGACGATCGGGATGAAAATATTGCTGCAGTCTCAATAACCCCGGTAGCGCTACAGCGATACCCAATTTCCATACTTATAACAACCAGGATTAACTCCGGGCCATCCATGCAGAGTCCAGTTGAAACTACGGATAATGCAGATAGTAAGTGGACGACGGATGACCTAACACGATATTCAAACGCTGTTAAGTCTTCGACCAAAGAGATAATAAAAGCTAAGATCCATGCTAGCACAGCCCCGGATGATGTCGGCAGAGTCCCGGATGATCCCGGCAGAGCCCCGGTACGGTCAGATAGAGTGCCGACAATCACCGGTAGAGTCCCGGCAGAGCCCTTGATCATCCCGGACGTTGCCGACAGAGTTACGGACGTACCCCAGTTGTTCCTGGATCACCCGACCGACCACCGGAACTCTAGCGGGATGTTTGTGAGATTGTTAAAAAAAGTTTAAAAGTGTATTTGAAAATAAGTTGATTGTTGGATACAGTCTATCTCACTTACTATTAAAAGGGAAAAAAATAAGTTAAACCGAAGTGCATTGTACTGGTGCTTTGCAAGAACCAGGGTCGCCTCTGGAACGGGGCGTCTTCTGTATCATGCACCGAAAAATAATATACTAACAATCTTCAGGGGGCGTTGGTCATATGGGCAACCGGTACCAACGATAAAAAAGTCAAATAAAATAAGTTATTATGCCCCCCTTCGAAGAAGTGGGGGTATATTGCTTTGCCCATGTCGGTCGGTCGGTCCGTAGACCATGCCATTTCCGCTCAATAACTAGACAATGCTTTGGCTGATGGTCCTCATATTTGGTGTGGAGGTTGGTCATGACTAGTAGATGACCCCTATTGATTTTGGGGCCAGAAGGTCAACGGTAAAGGTCACAGTGACCTCACCATGAAAAGCTTGTTTTTAGAAGATATTTTGTGTGTAACATTGTCTCATTGACAACTACAGGGTTTACTCAATTCATTGCCCCATGGGTCATATTGGTTCTGCCCCATGGCAATGATATACATGTATTCCATAACAAATGTACTATGCATTTTTATACACATTTAAAAATATAATGTTATAATATTAAATAATTGGCTATGTTTAGGGGGCATAAATGTTTTACAAACATATCTTGTTAACATCTGCATTGCGTTACTCTACACTTATAGCTATATTCAGTGTCGTCACTCGAACTCAACCTCCACTCAAACTCGGGAAAGGCTTCCTTAAGGACGAATTGAGGACGCCTTGGTCAAGGTGAACTCAAGTGTAGAATTAGTATTCATATTTGAAAGTCTTCCTCGACTTACCCGAGAAAGGTTTGAATAGCAAATCACCCTTAAAATCACTATTATAGGTGATCTGTTCAATAAAATATACAATAATTACATAATTCGTACTACTGATGCCCTTTGTTGGTACGAGATTGCAGATATATGGTACAGAAGACCGTAAGAAATGGCATCAGTACATTACCGAAGTTGCAACCAAGACATAACCAAGTGTAAACCAGTTAATGTATGGGTAAAAACAGTTTAAAGATGAAAATATTCATTGACAAGTTGTGATAATTTCAAAATAACGTTTGTCGAATGGAGAAGAAATGTTTTTGTCAACAGATTAAAATAAATATTACACAGTATTCGAATAGTAACATTATAATTGCTATATGATGGTGTCATTGTGTCGCCTCTACGGAGTAGTGGCGACATATAGGGATCACTTCTCCGTCGTCTGTCTGTCCGTCTGTCTGTCTGTCTGTCTGTCTGTCTGTCCGTCCGTCACAAAACTTGTCCGGACTACTCCTCATAAACTACTGGTGCAATTTCATCCAAACTTTACAGGAATGATCAGTACCAAGTCTAGTTGTGCATATTGTCAGCATTTTCCGGTTCAATGATTTTTGTCAGAGTTATGGCCCTTTAATAATTTTTATTTTTAAAGTTTGTCCGGACTACTTCTCTTATACCACTCATGCAATTTCAATGAAACTTTACAGGATTGATCTGTAGCTCAAGTCCTTGCGCATATTGCACTGGTTTTCCGGTTGAATGATTTTTGGCCGAGTTATGGCCCTTTGATAAAAAGGTGTTTTTTTTCTGTGTGTTGCCAGATACGCAAAAGCTTGTCCAGACTACTCCTCATAAACTACTGGTGCAATTTTATCCAAACTTTACAGGAATGATCAGTACCAAGTCTAGTTGTGCACTGTCCGTCTGTCTGTCCGTCTGTCACAAAATTTGTCCCAACATGAAATTGGCCATCATGAGGCGACACATGTGATTACTGATCGCTCTTGTTTAAACATTTATATTATTATACCTCAATATATCCGGATCTGCAACTGGCCATGCACAATAATGAATGATACATTTTACGTGGGGGTAAACCAGAGGGTAAAATCACGAGTTAGTTGGATAGACTGTTACAGTATCCAATACAATAAATTACAAATTAAAAATTGAGACATTTATCGTTAACCGATTTGGACATTTATGAGCACCTAATTTGTTAAATTTGATAAATGTCCAAAAATTGACGATAAATTTCTCAATCGCCGATAAATGTCCAAAACTCCTTTAACGATAAATGTCCAAAAATTGACGAAAAATGTCGCAACAAATTAGGTGCTCATAAATGTCCAAATCGGTTAACGATAAATGTCTCAACTTTTCATATGTTAATTGCACTTATTTCTGTGATCAACAGTAATGCATCAGCCAGTTATAAAGGTTTCCATAGGGATTAAAAGTACCGATTTAAGTAGCGTTCTCACCAGCATCCCGGCAAAGCCATGCAGGACCACCCCAGACGATCGGGATGAAAATATTGCTGCAGTCGCAATAACCCCGGTAGCACTACGGCGATACCCAATGTCCATACTTATAACAACCAGGATTAACTCCGGGCCATCCATGCAGAGTGAAGTTGAAATTACGGATAATGCAGACAGTAAGTGGACGACGGATGACCTAACACGGTATTCAAACGCTGTTAAGTCTTCGATCAAAGAGATCATAAAAGCTGAGATCCATGCTAACACAGCCCCGGATGATGTCGGCAGAGTCCCGGATGATCCCGGCAGAGCCCCGGTACGGTCAGATAGAGTGCCGACAATCACCGGTAGAGTCCCGGCAGAGCCCCGGTACGGTAAGATATAGTACAGATATATCGGCGCTACATCCCGGTCTAAAAACGACGATGCCAAATCTCCTAGATATTTTGCTTGGGTTAGGGCATTTGACTTTATATTGTTTAAAGAAGACCTTACATGTTGGTTTTGTCGTGACGCGGCTCATATTATGGATCTTTAAGGTTGATGTAAAACCGTCTGATTTTCTTGAATCCTAATTTTTGAATAATATATATGAGCCGTGTCATGACAAAACCAACATAGTGCGTTTGCGACCAGCATTGATCCAGACCAGCCTGCGCATCCGCGCAGTCTGATCAGGATCCATGCTGTTCGCTTACCAACCCTTTTACAAGTAGAGAAAATAATAGCGAACAGCATGGATCCTGATCAGACTGCGCGGATGCGCAGGCTGGTCTGGATCCATGCTGGTCGCAAACCCATTATGTTGGTTTTGTCATGACAAGGCTCATATATATATATGATCGTCTTGACCCTGTAAAGTAAGTTTGCTTTCTTCTTTTGTGGTTTGTAACCGCATTAAATATACTACATAGATATGTATGAGTATTATATTTGAATGTCATGAAAGACATTATATACGACTGATTGGGACAGAACAATGAGTTCAAATATAAAGACATTACATTGTAATTTGCTTATCTATAAAGTATTTCGAGAGCGCAAGTACTTGTATAATTTGCCTTATTTTTTTTCGCTGAAATTTGGTAAATCTTTTAATTTGACAGAGCAATGATTTCAAATATAAAGAAAATTATTCGCAAATCTATAAGACGTTTCTCAAGTGTGCAAATATCTTAATGATTGTTTATGTATTAGTAGACGATATAAGTGATCAAATGTTGTCGCATGTTCGTGAAGTTGGCAGCCTGGCAGTCTAGCAGCCTGAAGTTGGCAGCCTAGCAGCCTAAAGTTGGCAGCCTAACAGCCTGAAGTTGACAGCCTAGCAGCCTAAAGAAAACTAAGAATAGTATAAACATGAAAATGTTCGGAAATACATAAGTATCACTTCTTTATATCATTCCATGCCTCTTTTTCAATATCGTGATCTTTGCTTTTTAAGATGTTGAACTTTATCATAACATCTTTTTTTCATTCTGACGCTTCGAAATTTGTGAAGTTAGCAGCCTAGTGTCGTATGGTCCTTTTCAGATGTATGAATGGTCTGTTTATGCCTGTAAGGACATAAACATACGCCTTGATAAATAAATAAATAAATAAGATGACAATTTCTGGCGCAAACCAAGAGAAATATTTATATCAAAGTGCATTTATAAATACAGATCCGAAATACATAAACGATCAATGGAAATATGCATGATAATGAAACATAATGAATAACAAAAATTACCTGTAAGGACATAAACATACGCCTTGATAAATAAATAAATAAATAAGATGACAATTTCTGGCGCAAACCAAGAGAAATATTTATATCAAAGTGCGCATGCGTGAGGTGGATTTTCCGGGAAGTTTGTAAAAACTGAGGCCCGGCATGCAAATTATGTCAAAATGAAATATGAGAAATTAGTTGTTATAATGAGATGATGAAATGGAATGATATAGGAATGATATGGGATAATGGATTGTATATCGGACTGTAAACAGACAAATACAAGAGATATATATACAAATACAAGGACAAAATGATACATAAAAACGATATTCAAAAACACGAATATCGACCACATGACACTAGCAACCCAGCAGCCTAGCAGCCTCAAGAAAACTAAGGATAGTACAAACATAAAAACGTCGGAAATGAATCGGTAGCAAATACTTTGACCATTCCACGTCTTTTTTCAATATCGCGATCTTTATTTTGTAAAATATCGTTTGTGGCGAATTCCTAAAAGTCGTAGGTAGTCGTATAAGTTGTAGTCGTTATCGTAGTCATAACTGTACTCGTAGTCATTAATGGTGTAGAAGACGTAGTCGTGGTCGTGATCGAAGTCGTAGTGATCGGAGCCGAATTAAAAGTCGCAAAAATATAGACGTGGTCTTTGTCCTTGTCGTGGTCGAAGTTGTTCGGACGATATTTCGCCAAGTTAACCCTTGGCATTAACAACAACATATTACTTGAAAATATTACTAAAATTCATTTTTATTGGTTAGATTTTTATGACCCCAAAGTGCGGTCGTTTGTCTGATGTTAGAAATTGCGTATGTATCTGTGTAACGCACTTTGGGGTCAAAATTTGAACCCAAAGTGCGTGACGCACTTTGGGGTCCAACCCCAAAGTGCGTTTGACACCAAAGTGCGGTGTTACAAGGCATAATGATAAATCGTTAGATTAAGAAAGTGTTTTACTAAAAAATAATTGGGATGAGGAAGGCGTAATGATGATAAAGTTATGAAACGTCAAATGATCTAAATTTCACAAATGAAAAGTTTTCTTTGTTGTTGTTGTTTTTAGTTATTGTCAATTTCAACAAGGAAAGCCCTATCATAGGTATAACACAGTCACGTTGTTAATAACCAAACCCAGATTAAATTACAGGTGAACATCATGGTTCTGTATGTCAAACATGTCACTAGTGAATTAATTGTAATGGCAATAAAATATTGACTAAATTGGTCTAAATTTGTATTTATACAATTACATTTAAATGTCACGGGATCACTCGTCGGTAGAGATCTCGCAGCTAATAAGCTGGTCTGTGAATATACACCTGTCTGATGGACATGGGTCCTTTGGAAGGGATTGAAACTCTGTTAACAAAGATATATCAAAGATACATAAACATAATTTATTTGTTGTTTTACTAAATATACCTGTGTACTATACACAGATAAATGGTAAATGCAATGAAGCATTGTAATTGTGATCAATGTTAACGGGTCACATGTTAGAAAGAAAGCTAGATAGATTTATTGTTATGAGATTAAATTAGTATATAATGGGACGGATAATCCGACGATTGTGTAGGAGGTATACAGGTAATGCACGATGTAAAGTAATCTAGTATATGCGTAATGAGCTAATAAAGAGAGTAATAATCTGAATGAGGCGTAATGGTGATAATTATACTGATTATGAAACGTTATGAGCCAGATAAGGCGTAATGAGGTACATAAGCGTAATGAGCAAAAAAGATGCTTAGCAAGCTTGTTAAGCTGTATGGATCTGGAAATATATAGGCGTAATGAGCTAGTTTCATGGGGTACCAAATCAGAACGTTTTGAGTTAAATATATGTATTTATATCCCAATAGCAACGTCTGACCCCTAGCGGGAAGATATACATTTTAACTAATGACCGACAAGAATCATAAAGAGAGTCGGGAACATGTTTTTTTTTATGTATATTTTAAGTGGAACTAGAGTGTGATGTAGCTTTTACAGATACTCTTAGCAACAGTTTCCATCCAAACCGAACAGTTGTACATCATAATCATCATATCACCAGCAACACCCATTACACGTCACAGGTTAAATTCTTTGCAGATGGTACTTTCTTTAAAGAAATAAGTGGCAATCCCCTTTCGCTAAAAACATGGTACGTTTCGCTCTTTGTATTATAAACATTGTCGACAATTACTCAACTATACGCAAGAGAGCTATCTGAATAATAATGTTACAGTTGTAACAAATAATTATGTTGTGTGTTTATTTTGTTTTCGTGGTAATCTCTTTGGCTAAGCTGGTGGGCTTGCTGACTTCGAACCACTTGGCCCTCACCATTTTGGGTTCGAAACCCGATATGGACTGGATTCTTTTATGTCAGTAGGCTATCCAGTTAATTTCCTAAGGGTTGGTAGTTCTACTGGGGTGACCGCGTGGGCATAAATTCATGCACATATGGGCATCAGACATGTTTTTTGTATATTATATGTTTTTGTTTTGTTGTTGTTGTTTTTATTATTTATTGACTTTTTGTGTTTCTTTTCTTTTTTTTCTTTTTTGTTTTGTATATGGGATAATTTTGTGAATGTGATATTTTTTAAGGGTGTTTATTTCTTTATGACTGATATTTACTTCTACCTAGGTGAAGATGTGTACGTAATGGTAAAAATGTCGTCTGATGACGTCAATATCAAGATGAGAGTTTACAGCTGTTACACAAAGCCGTCTGCTAACGCTGGCGCAGCGTTAACGTTACCACTTATCCAAAATGGAGGTACTGCTCAAACATTGTAGAGAGTTAAATCCCTTTAAAACGCGTTTAATACACATATGATATAGACTTACTCTTCTTGTTTGCATGTCGTTGATTTTTTTCTTCTGTCTATTTCATACCACATGGCACAGCGCTTTAAAATATCGTCAAAAAGTCTTATACATGTAATTATTTTGGAAAACAATATTTTGCGATTTTCTGATTCTCTGATATACTACTAAACTTATTGTCGTTTGGTTATTTTCAAGGTGCGTAGATGATTCTTATCGCAGGGGAACCTCGAGACCAGATTCGTGTTTACGGCGTTCGAGTTTCCCGATAGTCGAGATACAGTTAACATCTATTGTAACACGACTTATTCACGGGGGTGGAACCCCATATGAATCTCAAAAATGAGCATCGGTAAAAATGATATGTGAATTTCCGCTGCACCAGATGTGAAGCATAACATCAGATGTGACTGGAAAAATAGGCCGATCGCAGGGTAAGTTTTCATCTTTTTAAACATTTATATAAAATTCAATCCTTTTTTTAAGAAAATCGAAATGTGATTCTACCCGCCTGACTCTCCTCTATATTACCCCTTGTTGTTTTGGATTTCTATGCAGTCTTCATCGAGATATTCTTTCCGTCGTGGGTTCTGGTGTGTCCAAAACATGCAATATGAATGAAGAAAATGTCACTAAACGGACTCAAAAAACATAGATTTTACGAAATCTCACTACAGGTCGATGCTAAACATTCAAACAAATCCTGGTTTAAATATTTATTGAGATTTGGCTACATACAAGGGAATCGCTGCTCAAAATTGCATTTGAGCTCCAGATGTGCTGAAGAGATTCATAAGTGATGTAGAAAACCATCTACAAAACTACGGACCTCTTCCATATAATCATTGAATAGCCAATGTATAGAAACAATATAGGTTTTGCATCTTTGGCTGAAAGTTTAATTGTAACATTAGTGTGTTTGATTACCACAGTGACAGAGCTTACTAGCTTATACTAGCATTAGAAATACTAAAAGGCTCGAGTACATGAAAATGTTGACGCAGAGCGGATAGTACTCTTATGAGTACCTATCGTGTCATATAATATGTTTCTTTAATAATGTTTACATTCATAAAAATATCTATAACTTTAATATTCCACAAGTTATAGTTATAGCGACAGACTGTTATGTGTAAATATCATGGCCTGATGCGACATCGAAGGTTTTTCTTTACAGGATATGGGCCGAGAACATTGTCTGTAAGGAAAACCCGAGATGCCGCCCCAGGTCATGATATTTCTACATAATAGTCGAGTTCGATATATTATAACTGTTTTATCGCATGATAAACAGAAATGAGAATTTTAATAAACATAAAATTTCAATTTATGATTGGCTTCTCTCCATAAATTAAATTTCCCACCCGAAACCTCGGTTACTTTTTATGTAACCCATGTCATCCATAATGTCTATCTGTTCATTGCAACTGACTTTATTTATCTTTGCAAATCCTTTCTGTGGAGAACATTTCATGGGACTTAATAGTTGTGAATTGAATATTAAGCGTTTTTTCTTTGAACTGGAAAAAGTAATACGTGCACTTTCTGGTGAATTCTTGGACTTTGGAGTCTGCGATACGCGGAATCTTTTGACACATGGGGACAATTTAAAAGGCGAAAAAAGGATATGTAAGCGCTGATGACTTCCTCTTTTCACGATACACGTGACGTTTTATTCTTGAAAGTTTTAAACCTTTCCTTTTTGTGCCTAGAAAACGACCCATTTTCCTGAAAAATAACAAAAGAAACGAAATACGAAAGTGTTTATAATTTACAGTTCCCACTGAAACAAGAGCCATGTCAACATGGCCATCCCCCGCCGAATGTGTTTGCTCATTGGAAGAATGTATATGTAGTAGAGCAGAATAATTCCATTTTAAGAGGTCTTTTGGTAATGAAAACTGATGGCTATAGTGATTACAGATTTGAAACCTATGTGAATACTGATGGCTGAAAATAACAAAGGGCAATAACTGAAAAATAATGCAGGGTAGGTTATCATTCTTGTGTGCTGCATCCCTCCTCAGTAAAATCTATCCACCTATGAAATTTCAAGTTGATACCTCAAATACTTTGTGAGAAAAAAATTGAATTGAAAAATTAAGTATGAAAAATAACAAAGGGCAATAACTCAATAATTATAAAAGGTAGAGTTATCATTCTTAGGCAGTGCACACCTCCTGAGTGAGATCTATGCACCTATGAAGTTTCATTTTGATATTTCAAAGGCTTTTTGAGTTATGCTCTGGACAAAAATTAATTTTGAAAAATAACAAAGGGCAATAACTCAAAAATAATGCAGGGTAGAGTTATCATTCTTAAGCACTTCACTCCTCCTCAATGAGATCCATCCACCTTTGAAGTTTCAAGTTGATACCTCAAATACTTTTTGAGATAAGCTCTGGACAAAATAGCATGAAAAAAAAGGGCAATAACTCAAAAATTGTATAGGGAAGAGTTATCATTCTTGCGCACACAACATTCCTCCTCAATAAGATCTATCCACCTATGACATTTCATGTTGATATCTCAAACACTTTTTGAGTTATGCTCCACTCAGGTGAAAAATTAGGTATGAAAAATAACAAAGGGCAATAACTCAAAAATTATGAAAGGTAGAGTTATCATTCTTGTGCACTGCACACCTCCTGAGTGAGATCTATGCACCTATGAAGTTTCATGTTGATATCTCATAGGCTTTTGGAGTTATGCTCTGGACAAAAATCAATTTTGAAAAATAACAAAGGGCAATAACTCAAAAATTATGCAGGGTAGAGTTATCATTCTTGTGCTCTGCACTCCTCCTCAATGAGGTCTATCCACCTATGAAGTTTCAAGTTGATAACTCAAATACTTTTAGAGATATGCTCCGGACAAAAATGTCGGACGGAAGGACGGACGGAAGGACGGAAGGTCGGACGGACGGACGGACGGACGGAGACTATTTCTATATCCCCCGCCGAACTTTTTCGGCGGGGGATAATAACAGTTATAAAGCGGAGAATACAATGTAAGTTTAGTGATCTTTTTGCGTACATGAACATTTTCAGGAAACAGTCTATGTGCATTATGAGCTACGCATGTCCGCTCAAAACGGTTAAGATATGTTAAAGTTTCTTTAAAACCATTCAAAGAATTACAGAGCAGGCATAAAATTCAGATAGGCATTGACCCATAATTGCGACTGTGGGCATGAAGTGAACCATGTAAATATTCTACAGGGACGTTTCTTAATGTGGAAAATAAATATGCAAATCTTCTTTGATCTTTTTTTTAAAAGTTTATCACTAACTTTCTTACAGCATCATAACAAATTCAAACACGCTTCACGTTACTCTCCTATTAAGCAGTGCAGTCGAGTGAATAATTAATTAATTAATTAATTAATTAATTAATTAATTAATTAATTAATTAATTAATAAATGCATGGTGGCATAAAAAGGGAAATATTGCAATACACACAACGTCAATAAGTCAAAAAAGCAAGGCCTTCCCACCATATCTACGTATTTTAAAAACCTTTCGTATGCAGAATGTCTTATATCTCTTTCTATATGGATACTATGTTATTCAAGCTCGTCTCGTGAAAATGTGTCTATTTCGGATAAAAGTATTTATTACAGAATGATACACAATAGAATAAATTCTAGATTGTTGCAAATTTTTCATGCTATGCACGTATGAATCTCTTCAGCACATCTGGAGCTCAAATACAATTTTGAGCAGCGATTCCCTTGTATGTATCCAAATCTCAATAAATATATAAAACAGGATTTGTTTGAATGTTTAGCATCGACCTGTAGTGAGATTTCGGAAATCTATGTTTTTGAGTCCGTTTAGTGACATTTTCTTCATTCATATTGCATGTTTTGGACACACCAGAACCCACGACGGAAAGAATATCTCGATGAAGACTGCATAGAAAACCAAAACAACAAGGGGTAATATAGAGGAGAGTCAGGAGGGTAGAATCACATTTCGATTTTCTTTAAAAAAGGATTGAATCTTACATAAATGTTTGAAAAGATGAAAACTTACCCTGCGATCGGCCTATTTTTCCAGTCACATCTGATGTTATGCTTCACATCTGGTGCAGCGGAAATTCACATATCATTTTTACCGATGCTCATTTTTGAGATTCATATGGGGTTCCACCCCCGTGTTATTGTGACGTCAGAGACACTTCTAACAAATGACCCAGCTGTGCCATGGCTCCCCATCACTTGTTGTCCGAGAAATTGGCTCATGGGGTTATGATGACAAAATACATTGTATGATGAATATATATAAAAACTCCATTATGATTCTATTCGTAATGACATTGACTTATTCCGATGGTCATGCTCACAGGCGTTAGTTACATAATCAAATATTTTACATAATCGGCCTATATAATATATGTATATTAAGATACTGTATAAGGCCCCCAATGGACTTTCGTTCAGTTAAGAAAAAGAGTTTGTTTAAGGAACGTATGTGGAAATTTTAGCCATTTTCTGTTTATTTCGTAATCGTGTTTGTATACATGAATAGAATGGACGTCGAAAACGACATGGATTGAAAATATTGGCATTTTGTGAAACTTTTCGTCATTTCTTTAATATTTTAGTGATTTTAATGAAATAAAAAGCTTTAACGCTGGGATTGATCCTTTTCAATGGCGACGAAAAGGAGATAACTGTGATCTGGTCGTTTCTTGCAGCAGTGGTCTTGTTTGTTCGGCATGATGTTTTTTGTTCTGTTGGAGACCGTATATCTTATTATAGTATATAGCCTATATAGAACATAAAAAGTTTGTTTCAAACCCCTGTGGTCATGATGCAAGCGATTGTAACCTGAGTATTCGAAGTAGTTCACTCCCTGACTGGAAAGACAAGCTTCTGTCAGCTTTGTACAATAGTCTGAAATGTAATACAAGATAAAAAGTAAAACAATTACAAGTGCAATTATGATCAGACGTAATGCTATGAAGCGATCTTATAATGAGTGAAAGTGATGTTTGTGACGTACTCTTAGTGACAAAATATGCAAAGATGTGATAGTAAGGAGGAGTAATGATGATGATGAAGCTAAAGATAATGGGATATAATGCATTTGATGAGACGTTTTAAAAAAGACAAAATGAGGTAGGTGATATGTTACAATCTAGTACAGATAAAGCGCATAGTAATATCAATTTAATAAATAATTCAGCCAAAGTATACATTATCAATTACTCAATTTGCTTAAAATACCCTTTTAACTTCGCTTTATTATTACCCCATCTCGCATATTATGTTCTGCTTACGCCCCATTACAACATACTATCTTTATTAAGTGTTTAATAGTGCTAAGACAGTATGATGCTGACGGTAATTATTCAAGAAAAATATCATAACTTGGCGTTCTGATGGAAAGACGAGATAAAATTGGCGTTATGGTAATTCATAATGGTAATTAGGCGTAATGTTGACATTGCGCTACGAAAAGGTGAAATGGTAATAAGGCGTAATGTTGATATGGCGTTATTAAAAGGTGAAATGGTAATAAGGCGTAATGGTGATATGGCGTTATGAAAAAGCGTAATAGTAATTAGGCGTAATGTTGATATGGCGTTATGAAAAAGGTGTAATGGTAATTAGGCGTAATGTTGACATTGCGCTACGAAAAGGTGAAATGGTAATAAGGCGTAATGTTGGTATGGCGTTATGAAAAGGTGTAATGTTGGTATGGCGTAATGATAAGGCGTAATGACGAGAATGATAGTAAATACAGAAATGAGTTTAGTTCGTTTGTTAATCAGTTAATAAACACACACTTAATCTTGTTCTTGGAACCAACCAGGACCGAGCAATGAGTGTGCAGTTTTATGCTCAATTAAACAATTAGAAGCTATAAGCTTATCGAAACACTCTGAAATTAGTTCCTGGAACTAACAAGTACTAAGAAATGAAAGTAAAGGAACAACGGTTTGCCCCCGACGGTGTTTAAACCGAGGCAGGTATTTGTTTTATTTTTTGTCCGACACGTTAACAACTCGGCCTGCCGCTACTTATGACAATGGTGGTGAAAATGTTGATTAAAACAGAACAGAATATTTCATTGACATTAACAATAAACCGTATTTAAAGCCATACTATTAGGCGTTATGGTAACGGCTAAAAAGTTATTTCATTAAAACGTGTTAATGAAATTCAATGATATTCAGGTGTAATGATAATCGAACGTAATGATAATCAGTCGTAATGCTAATCAGGCGTAATGATAATCAGGCGTAATGATAATCAGTCGTAATGATAATCAGGCGTAATGATAATCATGCGTAATGATAATTAGGCGTAATGATATTCAGACGTAATGATAATTAGGTGTAATGATAATCAGTCGTTATGATAGGTGTAATGGTTGTTAGGGTGTGAGGATAACACATTATTACATATGTAATGTATTATGACATAATTGAATAAGTGGAACGTGCTTGTCTTAATGAATTTTCAAAAGACTGTTACCCAAGTTGTCAAAGTTAAAGGAATTTCAACCAATGACAAACTTGATACTATGATTTTGATATTCCAAACATAATACATTGTCAGGACAAAGAAATATTCAAACATTTAGCCACTGAACATTTACGCATTAGTACAAACTTTCTTATGTTAAATTATGCCTCAATTGTGGTCTAGTCGTCTGTGCTCATTAAACATCTGCTGTTAATGTTTGTTTTTTTTTGATCATTTAGCGTTATCGTTATGTTAACGTTCTGGTTGAGACTTAGACATTTCAGAAATGATAAAAATGATGATGATGAGATTTTTGTTCCCAATAGAAGTGTTGCGAAAGTATTGAAAAGAAACGAGCATTTAATAAAGATCGTTCAATCTTTGTCTGAAGAACATGTTTTAAAGTAAATTGTACGACAATGCCTGTTCATCGTCACGCCTATTCATTATTACACCTTGTTATAAGGTAACATAATAACTCACCATCACGCCTCTTTTCTCACATTACTTTTTTCTACATATGAGCCACGTCACGACAAAACCAACATAGTGGGTTTGCGATCAGCATGGATCCAGACCAGCCTGCGCATCCGCGCAGTCTGATCAGGATCCATGCTGTTCGCTATCAGTTTCTCTATACTTGTAATAGAGTTGGTAAGCGAACAGCATGGATCCTGATCAGACTGCGCGGATGCGCAGGCTGATCTGGATCCATGCTGGTCGCAAACGCACAATGTCGGTTTTGCCGTGACGCGGCTCATATATTACATTTGAGGATATCAGGCCACATCTAAATAATCATTATTTCTCATGATTTCTCCTTTTTTTCTTACTATACGCTTATTATATGCGATTACACTTTCTGTAATTACCATTTTTCTCTTTACTCATTACTCCTTATAAATCACACATTTTGCCTCATTATTCACGTTTACAATATTTTCTCAATAAAAAACACCAAAGTAACGTTAGTTGCCATTTTGCATAATATTTCACTATTATGTCTCCTTAATTTACCCCATTATTCCACATTTTTTCCTTATTTGTATACCATCATGCCACATTATTCGTTCTTACGCCTCTTTATTCTATAAACGCATCATTATTAACTATAACGACGTTTCAATATTCCCATTACGCCTCATTATTCGCCATAATGTCTCATCATCCACAAGTACGCATCATTTATTTACGCTTTAAGTGTTTTAACTCCTGATTCGCTATTGTAACTCTTACTCACAATAAAACTTATATTATACCATTGTGTCTTATCAATATAATGCCTTAATATTATCACACCTAAAACTTATCAGTGTCACCTCATTATTAAACCTATCATCAAACATTTTGCTATTTCCTAATTCGCTAGGCTCAAACGTAAATAAAATTTATACCCCATAATAAAGGCAATCGAAGGAAGAAAGAACAACACGTACATAAATTCACATTTAGGATTTGTTATCTACAATGCCGTATATATACATTACTAATACATGATCTTAGAAACAGCATACATGACATAAACATCTCAACGTTTCATAAATCGGTGTAATCTGAAATGACTTTCTTGACAATAATCTCATATCTTAATTATGAACAACAACATGGAAAACACACGGTTATGAACGTACTTTCCCTGTCAGTATGCTGCGAGTCGGCTGCGCAACCCTACTCCATCGTGGGAGGGGGACATAGAAGGAAACCAAAACTCAAGACCAGCCACCTTCCGTAAGTGTTCTGACATAATGTAATGAGAAAACCCATAAGAATACTATGTAAAATGTAATTAAAAGCCGAATATGTAAGCTCAATAACTGCACACCTTCCATCAATAAGTTCAGAACATTTACAAAAACGTATAAAATATGGAATCTCTTCTTATATACAGAATATAAAAATTGAAATCAGAAAAGTTCAAGGTATCTTATTTCACTAACTAAAGAATCGTTCTCCAAAATAACGAACATAATGGAAAAGTAGTGCATCTTATTCTTGGAACAAAATCTGAAAAATATAAACTAAATTAATTAACAATATTTTAGTTTAATTCAAACGTAACCAAAACGTAAAAAACTTGACTGAATTAATAAAAAAAATGCATCTTTATAATATCATTTACCATTAATACATTTTGTATTTATTAGTCAATTATATACCTTGCAAAATTATTCTGCAGTTGTAAGAATAAGCTTCACAATAAATATTACATAGAGGATATTTGTTTAGTTCAGTGTAAGATCGGAATATATTTCACCGAGTGAGCACCAAAAGGTATATTTCAAGAGTGGCGCAGCCACGAGTGAAATATGAACTTTTGGTGTTCACAAGGTGAAATATATTTCAATCTTACACTAAACTAAACAAATTTTCTTTTTATTACATGCAAAGAAACGTTTTAAAAAGACAATAAATCTAATAATTAATGAAAAGCGCGCCAAATAATAATGCAACGTGACGTCATTTACGACGTCACGTCATTAAGTTGGTACCCAGTACTGTGCACGCTGCTATTTCACTGAAACAACGTAAGGGGCTTAAATTCAAACAGTGAAATTATCAAAGTGGAAATTTCACTGTTTCAAACAGTGAAATTACCCGTTTTATATCACTGATATATTTCTATAAACCACCAAAAAGCATGTAATAAGCCTCATTATTTGTCATTCCTCTTCATAACTCA